GCCTTTAGAGAGAGAAAAATTCAGAAAATCAAATCTGATTATTCTGAATTTATTTTTGAGAGCACACATATATATTCATGAGTGATTTAGTTGTAGTGTTCTCTATCTCATCGGAATTGGAGCTGTATTAAAGATTCAGATATTCCAGATGATCAGTAGGATTTAATTCTTCTACAATCGAGTTCAGATCTTGAAAAAGAGAAGTAAACACAATTACACTTTGAAAGGGTTGGAGCATTCGTGAAATGCTGTCTGATCTACCTGCTACTCTTCTATAAATATCAAGTGTAAGCCTGAGATCAAGTTGCTGTTGGACGGGGAGTCGCAAAGCCAAAGGATTGTCAGCGGTTGGTGTGGTGCAGAACGATAAGGTGTAAGACAGAGTCAAAGTTCGGTATACTTTATTTCAAACATAGTGGATTGGTTTACTTTGGTCTGCACAGTCCACAAGGTTTTTCCCATAGCAATTAACATATTTTATCAACCGAGGTTTCCTTACTAAAAATCCTGGTGCAATCTCTCTAACTCTAACTTGCTTTACTTTTCATATATTTGTGATTGTGGATGTTTAAATTGGTCAGATAATCTAATTAATCGTAAATTAAGCAAGTTGACCTAATAATCAGATCTAGGTCATTAAGGAGTTAATCACCATTGAAATCAACTGGCAGTTTCCGCATCCCGCGTAACTCTTATTTCACATATGTATATAACTCCAGATATAAGAACTATGAGGTGTGCCTGAAAACAATTCCCTCTCCAAAATAATTGTACCAACTTCTTCAATTTACTTTTTTTATTAACAAAAGATAGAAGATTAAAAATCTTTTTTCCTTCTTTTTACCCTACTAATTTATCTGTTTTTATCAAAAACTAATGTCGAGTAGCAGCTCTCCAGAAATTTCACAGAGGATATTTCTCTCTGACATCTGATATTGCAGTGCATAGGGAGAGTTAGTCTATGTATAAAATATATGTCTTGTGCATCTTGTTTGGGGGCTATGAAAGTTAAAGTAGGCTATTCCCATGAGTTGCATATTTTATACTATTCTTATAGGAGGTAAATAAACTTTCAAATATTTACAAAAATAAAATAAAATAAAAAGTTTTAAAATAAAAATTTGTGACTCATCTATCAACTATCCCTTGTTTGATACTTAAATGACAAAAATATAATATCATAAGTTCATAACTTATATGTCGATAAAGTATCATAATCAAACATAATCTATAATCAAATTTCAACAAAATATTGTTGTACCAAATAATCAAATTTTGATTAATGATATATTATAAGACAATATAAAAGTACTCTCACATAAACACGTCATTTGTGACTTTGAGGCACTGACCATAAATAATACTAGAGAAAGAGGAGAAGGGTGAATTATAATTTGTATAAAATCTAAAAACAAGAGAGTATGAATTGTTGACCATTTGATACCATTGAACAAACACGACTATTATGAATTGATATAACTATTAAAAATATATGTAACTTTCCAAAATTAAATATAATAAGAAAATTTATCAATTAGACAAATGTGACCATTGACAAACTTAATCTTACATAATCTCTTAGTATTTATTTTACAATACATGTTTAATCAAGGTTAGTGTTCATATTTAAAATTTAATGTCAAACAAGTAACATTGTTTTGATACAAAACAAAGACGTGACACTCTTTTTTAATTTTTTTATTTTATTATTCCTTTTCCATTGATGACTTCGTCTCAACTTTTCTTCATATAATATATGTATTGGGGCAGATGAAAGCTAGGTCTAATTTCATAATTGCCTACATTAGCTAAAAAGTTGTAAAGTTTTTACTTTAAAATGTGACTAAAAGATATCTTTTATTTTAGTAATTGAGAAATACAATCACATTGAGAGCGAAAGTTTTCCCTTATTATTGTCTCTTTTGATCACCAAGGGAAAACAAATATTATGTGTCACATCACGTGTTTACTAAGTGTCCTTTGTAATCCTCTAATTCAAATTGTTGAAGAAAATCAATGTCAATGTCTATCCCTTAATAGTGGTGATAGAGGATCAATTGTACTCTCATTTTATCATGGCATGTATGTGGATCTTTTCAATATTCATCTCTGTCCTGGTCAGTATGTGGGATCTCTTCACTATTCTATTGCAACTCCTAAGGAAAAAAAATAATAATAAAAAAATAAATACCTTGGTGATTTGATTCCAACCATAAGTTTTGACAATTAATTAGATGTTGACACATAATAATTGATTTCATGAGATACTGTAAGTATTCTAGAGTATTATTTACTTTCTCTTCAAATAATTGGTTACATAATTAATTGTAGTCTTGTGTTACACTTCAAAACCCTAATTACCAAAAAAATAAAAAAATTACTCCAAAGCCCTATGAAAATATATCATCGAAGGAAGAAGGTAGCACGTAACGAAAAAGAGAATGGTCTTTTGGTGGTTGAATTAGAACAGATGAGCGCTAAATAAAAAAAATTGATATGCTTGCTAATGTATTGGGTTGTGATTAGCCATAAAATAATTTTTTGAAGAAAAGAGAACTGATATTGACACTCTAATATTATCGTCTTGCGCTCCACTATTTAATTTTGTATAGGACAATACTTAGATGCTCACCAATGATAATCTACATCATCCTCACCAGTTGATGTGGACAAATATGTCCAAAATTAGAGGTGATGTATATCTCCACCATATCCGATTGGTGAATGAGTATATACTTACTATTTTTTATTTGATAATTAAGAAATTGGTGAATGAGTATATACTTACTATTTTTTATTTGATAATTAAGAAAGACGTATCTAACTTTTTATTGCTTCACAACAACGGTAAATACAATATACATCATCATTGATGAGGACTTAACTATTTTCCTTTTATATAAATATATGCCAAGTTACCCCTGTTCAAGTAATCTTTCTCAATATTCAACATTTTGGCTCTTTCAGGCTTTACCTTAGTTTTCTCCATCTCCGGAAAAGAAGCCTTTTGTGCCCTTTCCTTCTCTTCAAGTGGTGTCATTTATATCTTTTTAGTTTATGATTCCGAAAATTGCAAATTTTTTTATTGTGGAAAACTATAACAACAGAAATATTGGAACACATGGAGAAAGTAAGTGAAGGCATAACCAGACAGTACAGAACCAAATCAATAAGCAATTGTAATTTGTTGTTTTTATAATTAAATAATAGACTCGGATTAGTTTGTTGCCCGTGTGTTCAGTCACTATGATTCATGAACTTAAAAAGTAAAAACTATGGTTCTAACCGACTTCAATTGATGGATTATAGGTAAAGTGCAAAAATAACCTCTACACTATTAATAAGTGCAAAAAAACACCTCTAGACTATTGATAAGTGCAAAAAAACCCTTTAAACAATTAATTTGTTGTAACTAAAAACAAACACATGATAAAAGATTACTTTACCTTTTCTTTTAAATTTGTCACTTCTTATTAAATTATTTTTATTATCTTTTCTCTTATCTAAATATTAATTATACTATTTACTTTAATTTTATTATAAAAATAATTTTTTAATAAAAATTAAAAAAAAATTAAATATATTTGTAACTACCATTTTCTAAAATGATTAAATTACTATTAAAATTTTATTATTTATAATAAAACTTATTATACACAGTTTAAACTTTTTTACCGTAGTAAAATATCCACTTTTTTCATACAATATATTGATAAAAAATTAATAAACTATTTTCATAAAAAAATACCTTCTTTTTCATGTAATATATTCATTAAAAATTAATAAATTTATTAAATTATTTTAAAATTAATTTGTTACTTAAGATTTTTATTTAAACAGATAATTTTAAAAATTAAAAATAAATTTATACAAATTTAATGGAGAATATATCATCAAATTAGTATAATTTTTTTCATAATTTATTTTTAAAAAAAATAGATTAAATGTAGTTTAATAAGAAAGGACATTATGATCATTTAATAAAATATAATCTAAGTATTGAAGTATTTTGCAACAAAATGTGATAGTTCAATAAGTATTATGCATGACATAAAATTTCAGAGGTCATTTGAAAATTCAAACATAGTTTTGAGATTTTTTTTTACACTTTACCCTGAATTATATAATGCATATAGAAAATTCAAATCTTTGTAAATATTATATATATATATATATATGGTATAATTAGGTAGTGATTTGTAGAGGCAGATATTCTTTTGTGAAGGGAATGATAGAGCCAGCTGCCATCCACCGTTGCTAACCACACCAGAGACCCAAAATTTTCTGATTACTATTAATATGTTCAGAGTGCAATGAATCATGAAAAAAAAAAAAAAAAAAAAAAAAATTTGAGAGTTAGTTGAAAATATCCTCTCCTCATGTGCACCATGGACAAAGAAAGTGAGTTAGTTGAATTATCCTTTCCTCATGTGCACCGTGGACTCGCTGCTATTGCTTCTCTCTTCGCAGTCATTGAAGGGGAAGGACACTTTGGTAATTAAACTTTATAAGGGAAAGACAAAATTAGAGTGCCAATGACACTTTCCTTTTGAAAAATATATATTTGGTTTAGAAAATATATTTTTGACGGTACACTTACGCCGGACAGATGATGAATGGGACCCACCATGATCAATTGGGCCCACCCATCTTGAACGGTTCTGCTAATGACTTAAGGGAACGAAGAGACACATCTGCATTTTTTCTCATTTCACAGGATATGTATGCTTCACCAAGTCACTGTTACATTATCGCTAGATTCATTCAATATATTTCACATTCCGTAAATGGCATTCAATGCAATGAATTTAACCAATTCAAAGACGACAACACCAGTGGAAGAGGATCATCATATCCTGTGATACTGCAACAATGAAAATTGACCTTTTATATAAAAGAAAATAAGTCGGTAAACTATCCTTTCTAAATTTTCAGGAGATTTAACATAGTTCAACAATTCATTCCGTAGAAGAGATATATATATATATGTAGGAGATGGATTAGGCTCCTCTATGCAAAAAAAAGCACTAAAAACTATGGTCACACAATCGAGAATTGTAGAGCAACAAGAAATGATGTTCTTATTCCACTTTTCATTTTACTCTCTTCTTCTCTTTACCTTCTCATTAGTCCTCGTTTGGAAATGGTTGTGGAATCCGAAAACCCTAAGAAATCTGCCACCTTCTCCACCAAAGCTCCCAATTATCGGAAATCTTCACCAACTTGGATTGCTCCCTCATCGCTCCCTCCAATCCTTAGCTCAAAAATATGGCCAGCTTATGCTCCTTCACCTCGGTAGCAAGCCGGCTCTCATCGTCTCCTCAGCTGATGCAGCTCAGGAGATCATGAAAACCCATGATCTCAACTTCTCAACCCGACCTAAATCAAGCATTCCCAGTAGACTTTTCTACGATAAGGACATCATATTCATTCCTTATGGGGAGTATTGGAGGCAACTAAGAAGCATTTGTGTGCTCCACCTTCTTAGTAACAAAAGGGTTGAGTCTTTCCGTAGAGTGAGAGAAGAAGAAACTTCTCTTATGTTGGAGAAGATCAAACAGTCTTCTTCTTCACCGGTAAATTTGTCTGAAATGTTAATCTCGCTAACAAATGATGTATTGTGTCGCGTAGCCTTGGGAAAGAAGTACAGTGAACAGGAAGGTGATACAAAGTTAAAGGATCTATTTACGGATTTTTCGGAGGTTTTGGGTGGTTTCAATGTTGGGGAGCATATCCCATGGTTTGGTTGGTTGAATCGTATCAATGGTTTGAATGCTAAGGTGGAGAAAGTTGCTGAAGAGCTCGATAAATTTTTGGAGGATGTTGTGGAAGAGCATATTGATCGTCAAAATAGAGATCGCGATGGTGGTGGGAGTGATGATCAAGGTGATGAATGGCAAAAGGATTTCTTAGATGTCTTGCTTGGAATTCAAAGAGAGAACTCTACAGCCTTTCCTCTTCAAAGAGTCAGCATTAAAGCTCTCATCTTGGTATGTTTCTGTGTAAATTTGAAATTTTTAAAGGGATGTGAGTTTTAGAGACACTACTACTCGATCTGTTTGTTTGTATGTAAAATAGTTTTTTATATACTGATTAATTTTCGATACCTAGTTCGATGACCTTGATCTCAACTTCTACCACCACTTTCACCTAAATTTTTTTTTTATTTCACTTGAAAAAGAAAAAAAAATATATTAAAAAATTTTAGGTCAAAACAAACGATACCCTTTACAGATTATTAATTCTCTGCTGTAATCCTTGAAACTTTTCTTTTAAGCGTTTACCCTTGATACAACGATCTACCATGATAAGCCTACGCAGACTGCCTTTGACTTAAATTTTTATATGACTGAATTTAATTTACAACTTGTTAATTACTATCGTTTGTTTCTTGTAGGATATGTTTGCAGCTGGAACTGAAACTACCTACACATCTCTCGAATGGGAAGTGACCGAGCTTTTAAGACACCCCAAAGTCATGAAGGAACTACAGAATGAGGTTCGAGGAATAGCCAAAGGCAAACAGGACATAGTCGAAGATGATCTAGAGAAAATGCATTACTTAAAAGCAGTGATCAATGAATCTATGAGGCTACACCCTCCTCTACCAATGCTAGTTCCTCGAGAAGCCATTCAAGATGTCAAAGTAATGGGCTACGACATTGCAGCCGGCACACAAGTGTTTATCAATGCTTGGGCAATTGCGCGAGACCCGTCATTGTGGGAAGACGCTAAAGAGTTCCGGCCACAGAGGTTCTTGAATACTTCAATCGATTATAAAGGGCAGAACTTTCAATTTATTCCATTTGGAGCTGGCAGGAGAGGTTGTCCTGGAATCAATTTCGCAAAGCCTGTTAATGAGCTTGCATTAGCGAAGCTTGTACACAAATTTGATTTTGCATTGCCTAGTGGTGCAATAGACCAGGATATGGACATGGCTGAAGCCCCTGGTATAACCATCAACAGAAAGTATCCTCTACTCGTTGTTGCAACTCCATATTCTTCTTAGTGTAATTTGGTACATATCTGATGAAAAATTGTACTACGCCAACATTATTTGTAAAGTTATTATACATTTTATATCAGCATGGAAATTGGTAAATTTAATAACTATCTAGTCCCACAAAGAGGTTAATAGAGAGAGAGTTACTGGTTTGATAAAGTGAACACTTGGGGGCAAGATGGAGTGTCTCACATGGTCGGGTAGGAGTTTGTCTATATGGTCGGATGTTGAAAATTATCTATTGATTTAATATCTCTTCATTGTTATAGTACGTATTTACCCATTCATTGTTATAGTACGTATCCATCCAATTAAAGACGGATTTAGAAATTCATATGAGAGAGAACAAATTTATACAGATGAATTTTTTCACCCACTGAATCATTCACAGATCCATCGGTACACCTAATCCAATTTTGAGAGAAACTACGCATTTCTTATTTTGTGTGCATGATTGTGCTATAGCTCGTGTTTTCTTATGCTTGCGCTCACCACAATAAGTTAATAATACGATTTTGAGTGAACCACTTTATCTTATGAATTGATCTAGTTTCACATGCGTACGTGAGCGTCCACAACAAGTCATTTAAATTAAAATCTTATATTTTGTTTCACAAAATGGTGCTAGAGCATGATTTTAATTCAACATTATGTTCTTTTGAATGATTCAATAAGAAAAATCTTTTGAATTGTTTATTAGAATATACTATTTCAATACTACATATGACCCTTTGCAGATCTGGCAGCCCTTTAATACTAACACACGTGATGATATAAGTGAATATTGAATACGCAAGCCAATATAGCATTGGTAATTTTTTTTTTAAATCCTAGACACATTTTTTTACATTTAACGTAGATATATTTGTTTGGGAATAAATAAATAAAACGATATATTCAAGGTGAGTGGACGATTAACTATATTTAGGAATATATTTGTGATTCTGTTTAAACGTGTGAATTTTATGTTGGGTTCTAGTGATGATTTTCATCGTGTTTTTTATTTTTTATTTTTTGGCACATATTATATACTTGGTGCGATATTTTAATTTTTATATTGAATGATTATGCAAATAAAGAAGGAAAATTGTGGAAGGGCTGTTGATTTTTATTTAGTGGGGGATAGTGAGATTTTATAGATATATAATAAATAAATAAAATCAATAGGAAAATAATACTAATGTTCAGTGGGTTGCCCCCACTGACTCAAGAACAGGTCCATGCCAGTACTTCCACCTACTTAATTTTAAAATTTTAATTTGAAAACTTGATATAGTTGGACTGCAATGGCATCGACTATCGACGGTTGGAAAAATTTTAAAATAAAAGATAAAATTTATTAAAGGATTTATATAGGAGACATCATGTGCATAGAGCAAGTAAACCTAGATCTTATATGGTAAACATATACATGATAACAATATCATGGTAACCTATACATGATAATAATATTCTAACATCCAATATCAAGGTGGAATGAATGATACTTGCCATAAAAGTTGTTCATAAAAGATTTGGTGGAGAAAACTGATTTCACCTTGATGTAGCTTACAGATACTAACGTGATTGATGACATGGCAACTAAAGTGGCAAGTGACTTGGCAATACTGCTAGCCTTTGTTGCGTGGCAACTGAGGTGGTATGTGACGTGGCACAACAACTGGCACTGTTGCAGAATGTAACTGACGTTGCACCGATGCAGATATGTCAGGTAACATGGGGTGGATCTGTGACCATCTTAGAGGTAGATGCAGAACGTTAGTTTGAAAGTTGACTACCATCAAGATGGTGCTAATAGTGCCATCCACGATGGTAACAACGATAAACTAATGGGTGACAAATTTGTAAAGATTCACCACGTAGATGGTTTGGGAAGCGCATGATGATCACTAATAGCGCTTAGTGATGGAGCTGATCGGACACGTTGAGGCGGGATTATCATTGTTGCACGTGAAAGTGCGTAGAAGAGTATGATTACCATTTGAGGTGCATGGTGGCGAAATTGATCTGACACGTTGAGCATCTCTGAACAAGGCATCTCATTAAACAATGAGGCTTTCCTATATAAGGCATCCCTGCATCTTGTTGGGTTTTCCGAAGGAAGACTTGGACAACGACAGAAGACTTAGACAATGAGGCTTCCCTGGACGCGGAAGCGTGAGTTTGCTGATTGACCAACGCCGCCGACGGTGACTACGATAAACTGTTAGATTATCGTCGACGGTGATTACAATAAACTGTTAGATTGCTAGAGATTGAAAGGTTCTGATACCATGTTAAAAATAAAGAGAGTATAAAACTCTGTATTATATTGATGGATAAAATATAAAAATACATAGAGGTTTACATAGGAAACATCATAGGTGGAAAACAAGTAAACATAAATCCAATGTGATAAATCTATACATGATAACAATATATATATAATATATAATATATTCTAACAATGACAATAGTTTCCCGATGTAGCTATGATATAGGGTTTTTAGTCAATTTATTTAGTATTTTTAGGAGCAAAATGGGTATTAAGTAATTTTCTTGTCACGTTAGATGAATGCTGTGTCTTTCGTAGTTGGAGACCTCAAACAATTGCCTAATGGCCCAAGGTTGAGGCCAGCTAGAAAAATCTTACAACCAATTAAAGACGTATGTTTAGCCATAGTCGGTGTTTAATTATCAACTTTTAATTTTATAAATACAGCATTAAAATAAGGGACTTTTATAATAAAGTGGTCTTAGTGTAGGTATATTACTCATAGCCAAACGTAATTTACATATTTACAAATACATGAACCAAGTTCTATTTTAGCCCTTTATAAAGCTAAATTTATATTTTCACCCCTAGAAGTTTAATTTATGCACAATTTACCCAAAGAATAACTTGTTCAAATATTATAATTTTGCCAAACAGCACTTAGGAACTGCTACATAGCTCTAGAATTAGGAGACACAACACGTAGTCTACAAAGGAGAATTGAAGAACTTAGATCTAGAATTATATTAATACAAAATATTTTAGAAGCTAGAAGGCAACGATTTTAATTTATGAATAGATTTGACTTTAATAATTTAGATACTTCTATAAAATGATTAGGATAAAATTTAGATTATATTAAAGAACAAGTAGTACAGAATTCTAGTCCAAATAATTTAGATAATAAGATAATATTAGTTGCAATTAAAGATATCAATAGTGATCTTAAGAATATTGCTGAAAACCAAAAAATAATCTTAGACTCTTTAAAATCCCTTAAAACCGATATCCAAAAATTATTACAATAAATTTTATGAGCACAAGTAGTCCTGATTATTTAACCGCGTTAGCTGAACTTTACAAAATTGATAAAGAACCTATAGGATTTACTAGCTTTAAAATAGACGTACAGTCAACTAATATACACATTAGACAAAATAACTTTTTAATTCAGTTATTACTCCAGTTATCTGATAAAGTTAATAAACTTGAAGAAAAATTAGAAGTAATACAAGAAAGTATTCCCAGAGAATTTTCAAAAGAATTATCTGAATTGTCAGATAAAATAAAAAAAAATAAAATTGTCAGTTAATAACCAGTCCTCTCCTATAACAGCCAAGCGTGTAAATTTATTACAACTAGCTTCAACCTCATAAGCAAATACCACAATGACCATTATCCTTAGAAAAGCCAAAGAAATAATGAGAGTAGAAGATTTATATGATAATGAATATGATGCTAAAAAATATATAGAACAAGGAATGAAGAAGGTAAAAAATAAAATTAATCTTTATTCTAATAATTTATTAGATTTTCAGAGCAAGATATATAATCATTTTAGCCAAAGAAAAATAAGTGCAGTTAACAATTAAGTTATTTTAGACCTTATAACACCCGAAGCATGCCAAGAACTAAATGATAATAATTCAGAACTTATGCATTTAGGCGTTATAATGATAGGATTAGTAGGATTAAATAGAGCAGAAACCGGAACTAGAGCATTTGCTTATATTTATGATGATCGATGGAATAACCATCAACAAGCTCAAATAGCCAGCGCAGAAATAGACTTAGCCGACAATGCCGCAATAGTAGGATGTATTCTCAATTATATGATGACTACTAGAGAATTTAGTAAACATATTAAAATAGCTATATCTACAAAATGATATAATATGACAGGACAATTTGAAAATCTATTAGTTAATACTTTATTTATGGGAAATGCAGTTAATTAGTATAACTTAAAGTTTAAAGCCCAATTTAGTGAAATAGTTAAACCTTTTAGTAGCAAATATGTCCAGATGATAGAAGCCTGAAAAGTAAGCAGTATTACCCATGAAGGAACAGAATAGAAATTACCTAAACTTACTACTACACCTAAAAAGATTCCCGAAAATAATATGATATATGTTTCAAATAGCGGAGATGCTAGCATAAGGTTTAGTAATTATAAAAGACAAGACAATTTAGTTGATGATACTCAAGAAGACTTTTTAACTACACTAATAGAGATCGAATCTCCAGAAGAAATAAATGTCCTTTATGATAGATTAGAAGATAAAATTTTAGATAAAATAATGTACGATTTTGATATTTTAGAATTAGAAGCATTGCAAGACAAGTATCCAGAACCTAAATACCAACTTATCGAGAGTATTTATTTAAGACAAGGAAATAATGATGATATTAAGAAAAATATTATAAGTGTTGGATTTGTATCCTTCTATACAACATTAGAATTAAACACAGTAAAAAAAGAGTTAAATGTAATAGAGCATAGAGAAGGGAAAGCACCAGAAATATCAGAATCTCACTCAATCAACCAAGAAATGAGTGACCAAAGAAAGACTAACACCTCAGGTAGTAATACCTTAAGTGATGACTTTACTACCGGACAAAGATTAAATCCCTCACGAGAAACTTATGTAGAAAATAGAAATATACCAGATATGTACACCTTAACACAATATCGTAGACAATATGAAAATATACCAGTGCAATCATCAGGAACAATATTAGACATAGCAAGACACGATCCCCAAGACTGGGCAAAGGTAATCGAAAACTGGGAACAAGATTGTATTAGGCAATCTATTTTGACCA